TTCCATCTCCCCCAGCACACCACTCCCTTCAAAGACATTGTTGTGTTGGGTAGCTGCATTTCCCCACTCCTGTGGGGATTGTCATTTCCATAGCTGAAAGCTCACTGTGCTCACTTTGGCTTTGTCCAGAAAGGAGAACTGTGATTGTATGGAATCATGAGACCAAAATCATGTTACTGTCTGCATTTGAGATATTTTCCCAGACTTCATAGAAGTAAGTGACCTGTTTCTAGGAGGAATATGGCTTCATATTAATAGATTTAGCTTTATGTGTTTGTCTTCTTCCTTATACTCTTTCCTTGCCAAAATGTACAGTTATGTTACAGGTGGGTTTATGGAACAGTTGTGCACTTGTCTGTTTTCTGAGAGCTGCTAATATGATTGAAATCAGCATTTCTTCTGTGATGTTTGATCTTACTGGCCTTCTTTGAGGCACCTCCCTCCACTCACTATATTTAGGTGTGCTTCTTTGTTAATACACTTCAGATATGTTTCAAACCTTGTTGTTTATTTGCCCCCCTGTATTTAAAGGTGATAATGCTATTGGTGAGAACAGTACATGTTGGCAGGAGTGTACATGTAGGCTCATGTACACGGGTGAAGAGGCATCCTTGACCAAGGTGGTTTGTGGATAGTGGCTTGAAACATGTACCTCCCTTAGGAGCTCATCTAACCCAAATCAGGTGTGCAGTAGGGCAGTGTGGGTATCTTCAGGTGCTGGAGCTACCTTGTGTTCTGACCAGCTGTACAAGCCAGTGATGAGCTGTGGTGCCTTAGACCATCCCCTGGATACTGTGAAGTTCTGGCTCTGAATGGCTTGAATTACTTTACAAGCAAGCAAGATTTGAGTGGAACAGCCCTCCTTGTGATTTCTGAGTCAGGAGTCTGTGTGTGCACAGAGGGATGTGCACAAGTGACCAGGGAAACGCCTGTGTACTGGGGAGAATCTGAGGCAGGTGAGTATGTGCAAGTGAGCACGTGTGTTTGACAGAGTATGTCTGAGCCTGTGTGCTCTCCTGTGGCAGCCGTGTGAGTCTGACTCGGGCCACTCTCCAGCTGTGTAAATACATTGCTTAGCAAATTGAGGGCTCTGGTTAATGATTTCCATTAGCACAGGGCCCATATTAGGCTCCGTTCTGTGAGCAGTACCCAGCTGTCTGAATGCCATTAGAGTGAACACATGAGCCTTTAATGTCAAGTGAGTATTGTTTGTGCTCTGAGGAGCTTCTGCAGGAGCTGGCCTGGGGTTGCTCACCAGGGGCTGTCAGGCAGGTTTATGGCAAGCTCCCTGGGGACCTGCTGCAGTGGCAACAACTCCTAACACCCCTCCCTAGTCAAAGCAAAGTCCCAGGCATGGTGTGCCCAAGGAGAAGGGCAGGCTGGTGAGGATGCTTGCCCAGACTACAGGGAGGCAGGTGGCTCAAGCAATAGGGTGGCAGGAATGTTCCCCTCTCTGGCAGCTGGCTCTATCCATTTTTGTTCTGGAAGTACATCTACAGAGCTTTGCCTTGTGCTACTCATCAGGACCAGACCACCACATGCTGTGATCCCAAATGGTGTCTTGGACTAAGCCAGATCAGACCTGGTCATCTTTAGAGCTGGATATGAACTCCATTCTAAAAATGCTTTTCTGCAAGAAGAGAGATGAGGGATTTGTAAGTTTCTTACCTCCAGCAAGGTCGGTACCAGAGGTGCTGTTCTGTCAGTCAGGGAGCAGGTGCACAAGGATCCTGTATAGCTCAGGGTTATAAAGGAGTGCAGATTGGTCAGGGTGTTGCTATGGATGAGAGCAGTCAGGTTACTGCCTCTCCTGTTACTGCCTGCAGTTGTGCACAGGCCCGTTCTCTCTCTGCCCTTGTCTGCGGTTGTTGAAAGCCAGTGGTCCTCTTGTGGCTGCTTGAGAGGTGCCATGATGAAGAGGCAGGATTGAGTGCATTTTGAGCCTCACTTGCAGCTGTGTGACTACCCATCAATCTCAGCATCCTCCTGTGTCTTCTCACATCCCTGACCTTCAGCCTCACCTGTTCTGTGCCCATCATCCTGGCAGTGCCCTGGGAAGGCTCTCTGCCCCACACATTGGCCCCAGAAAAAGACCCAGAGAGAAACCATAGCACAGCTTTCCACACAAAGCCTGGTGAGTTTTGTAGATGACTTTTGTCTGTCCTTTGGGCCCGTCTTTCCCCAGCCTCTTCATCTGCCGTCTGCCAGAAATGAACAGATTCAGCTGCCTTCCCTAATCCTGTCTGGCATTTCAAAATGGAGGGGACTGCCAGGTTCTTTGTTCCCATTCCCTCTTGGCACTGGCAGGGGACCTTCTCTGCTCTGGAGAAGGACAAATGTGCTGATTTATTCTGCCCCTTAGCTTTGAATAGGGGTTGCTATGTTACCTTCCAGCTCTGAGGCCTGCCAGAGCATACACCATATATAACCCCACAGCAGGTGGCTATTGAGTAAAGGCCCTTAAATCTGCCTCTCTTGTTTCTTATGCTGCTGGCCAAGGTGTCAGGGGGATGTAGCAGGGCATGATTTGCTGGCTGAAACTCCAGGCACAGCTGATGCCAAGCACCATGTTGGCATTTTCCATTCTCGAGTGCCTGTCTTAATTTGCAGAAGAGATACCAACTAGGCAGGAACATGCTGCTCACACTGGCTTTTAGAGGTCTTTCCTGACATAAAGGCTGCTGCCCATCGGGGCTGAGCTGTGACCAAGAGCCTTGGAGACAAGAGGCTTCGAGATCCTGCTGTAGTTGTTGCAGCACTTAGGGCCTGGCTTGGACACTTCCTTAGCTCACTCTGATTTGCTGTGTGTGTTTGGATGAGACAAACCATCTGAGCAGCTTTTAGGGGATATTTGTGTGTTGCTGTCTTGTGATGACAAGTTAAAACTTAGGCAGAGGAGAGGTGGAGGCATCAAAACATCATGTTGCCATGCTGTTAGGTGTGTGATAGACCTGGATCTGAAGTGCTCAAATGAACTCTGTCTTCTGTGAGACAGTAGAGTTGGTAATTGTTCCTAAAAAGCCTAATTCTTTGAGGAACAGTCCCACAGTGCAGGCTAAGCAAAGGAGACCACAGTTCTAGTTAGGAAAGGTCTAGAAAAAGAACAGGGAGTCACATAACAACGGAGCCCAGTGTGAATCACATGCAATGTTAAGAGTTGGAAGTGACCTTAAAGATCATCTAACTCTAATTCCACCTGCCATGGTAGGGACACCTGCCATCAGACCAGGCTGCTCAAGGCCTTATCCAGCCTCATCTTGAGCCCTGCCAGGGTTGGGGCATTCACAACCTCCCTGGGCAACCTGTTCCAGTGTCTCATCACTCTCACAAGAAAGAATGTCTTCCTAATATCTAGACTAAAATTTGACCTCTTCCAATTTGTACCCATAACTCCTTATCTTGTCACTACAATTCTTGAGGAAGAGTCTCTCTCTGGCTTCCCTGTAGACCCTTTCCAGGTACTGGAAGGTCCCTGTGAGGTCTCCGTGCTACATTTTTCCCTCCAGGCTCCAACTTTCTCAGCCTGTCTTCACTGGGGAGATGCTCCAGTCCTCTGAACAACTTCATGTCTTCCTCTGGACTTGCTCCAGCAATTTCATGTCCTCCTTCTGTTGGAGACTCCACAGCTAGATACAATAGTCCAAGTGGGGTCTCACCAAGAGCAGAATAGGGCGGGAGAATCACTTCCTTTGACCTGCTGGCTGTTTTGATGCAGCCCAAGATTCCACTGGCTTTCTGAGCTGTGAGTGCACAGTGCTAACCCACCTTGAGTTTTTCATCAACCACCACCCCCAAGTCCTTTCCTGCAGGGCTGCTCTCAATCACTTCTCTGCCCTGAAAATCTGTAGGTTTTTGGGTTTTTTTCCTAACCTGTTTCTCATCGGGTTTTTTCCTAACCTCTGTGAAAACAGTGGTCAAGTCCTTCCCAAGAGTGTTAGAAGTGCCATAAGAATAGGGGACGTTTGCATGAGTTTCTGAGCTGCTGAACTTCCCACGTGTTCCTTGGGAATGAACTCTACAGAATCATGATTAAACACCTTCCTGGACCCTAGAGCAGTGAGACCTCCTCTCCTGACCAGAAATTTTCAGTGAAATAGCTGTCCCACTAGTGCTTCTCCTTGCATAAGGAAAGAAACAAACCAAAGTTCCTGAAAAGTTAAATGAAAGCTCTTCACATTTAACAGAGTGGAATTACTTCTTTGGCATGATAATTTCTCTGGAATCTACATATCTTAGCACAGCCTAGTGGAAAACAGCATTTCTGTCCTGTCACACAGTGCAGGGAGTACATGGCTATTTCTGGCCTCCTTACTGTGGACCTGCTCTGAACACTGGGAGCAAAAGGGGAGAGAATGGTTTTTAGTGGCCATGGTAAAACCAGTCTGTAAGGCCTTGGGGGTGGAATGTTTTCCTCCAAGCAATTCTCAGCCATTCCTCCTCAAACTTTAGAGTCTGGAACCAGAGCCCTGGAGAGCTTCAGCATGCCTGGGACTTTAAGAAAGAGTGGCTTGTAAATCCTTATTGGAGAGCTGTTGAAAAATGCGGCTGCAGATGTGTTTCCAGAGATAACTTGGTTTGTTTCCATGCTCTAAAAGTGTACCAGATCTTACTTCAAGGCCAAGTGAATTTAGCTTTTTGATGTGAACCTTTTGGTAGTGATGCTTTTCTGACCGGGCTGCTCTAAATGCATCATAGATATCCTGTTTCATTTAGTGACTACAGATGCCTACATGGACCCTAGTCAGGTGGATCCTAGGGACCTTAGTCCTGGAGGAAGGGAGGTGTGTCTGCTTTTTATCTTGAAGGGTACGAGCAAGGATGTGAGCAAAGTGCTCGCACTGCTTATGTTTGTGCCATTTGCTGCAAGTGCAGGCATGACCACCTATTCAAGGAGGTGTAATTGTATCAGAGGGGGGCATGACAAAGTACTCAAGGCAGGAACTTCACCCTTTGCAGGTGAGATGAGCACTGACTTCATGTGTCTTTTTATTCCCCTGCAGAGCATCAGCGGAGGCCGCCCGCCGTCCCACTTTATGTACGATCCCTCCACTTTTGCCTTCCGTTCCCTCAGCACCTTGAAGCCGCTGAGCCCGATAGCTCCAGTGGAAGAACCGTCATGTGCCTACTGAAGGAGTTTCTCCAAAAAAACCTCAGGAACTATCAACCAGTGTCCTGCCTGGCAGGGAGAAGGGGAGGTGGTGATACCCAAGGCGGGGGGTGGGAGAAGAAGGGGCAATGACACATCTTTGCAATGCAGCTGCTCTGGCAGGAGGAAGCGAATGGCCTGGCAGCAGTGCCTGTTCTCATACTACTGATGGATCCCAGCAGTGGCAGAGGGGAGTGAGTTTTGTCTTTCAGGGCAAAGCAAACCAGTCAGGTCCACAAACTGCAATAACTGCCACCAAGGCAGTGTCAAACATGAGGATGGTGGCAAATGAAGATATCCAGGAGGTGTTCAGGGGTTAGTATGACCTGCATGGCAGCAGGGATGAGTGATCAAGCTGTGAAACCAAATCCAGTCAGTTTCCCAAGGATACCTGGGTCTATAGTGCTTTGCTCTAGACCTGACACTTCTCCCACTCAGAAGTGAGCTCAGGATTGGAGAAGGAGGCTATACACAGCTGCTTGCAAAACAAGATCCCTCTCTGAGAATTGTTATAATTGCATTCACATCAAGCTCTCTCAAGTGGAAAACCCTAGGACAAGGAGGTGTATGGAGGAGTAACTGGCACATTTAGCTGTGCGTTCCAGATGATCTGCTGGCAGTTTGGTGATCGTACTGTCCAAAAAGAGATTGAAATGGGAGAGTGAGACATCCATAGGTAGATCTGGGGTTAGAATAAAATTCTAGAATTGGAAGGTCTGTGTTGAGCTATCCAGGGAAATGCAGCAGCCACCTTCAGTCGTCTCAGCATCGTCAAAGAGAAGAACTTGGGGGTGACTGTGTGCTCATGGGTCTCCTCTCTGCTGAGGCAGTGTGTGTTCTGGGGTATGTAACACTTCTCCATAGTATTGTCCCACTACATGATGGTGGAGGTAAGTGGTGCCACCAAACCTAAACCAATTTAATGTCTCCAGCAAGCTTTCCACCCGCCTTGTTTATGCTAGCTCTTAAATTCAGGTACTCTCTTCTGGTATCAGTGGGACAGTATTCTCAGATGAAGCAAGCAGTGGGAAAAAGTCGATTTTGTGGCTGTTGGTGGAAGAAACAGGAGGGGAGTTTTGAGTGAAGGTGGGGGGTGTTTCTCCACAGACAGTTCTGAGGCTGTTGGGACCATGCTAGGCCTTGCTACCACTGGTGTTGGGCTGGGATCTGTCCTCAAGGCATGTGTGTGTCTTGTGCCAAAGGCAGGAGTTAACAGAACAAGCTCTCACCTTTCCTGTTGAGGCAGGGGAACAAAGCCTTTCCTCTTGCTGCACCTGGTGGAGAGAGTAACCTCTTGCTGTAGGCATTGCCCACCATGAGCCTGTACCTGAGTGCAAGGGGAAGCAAGTAGTTTGTCCAGAGGAGCAACTGTGAGTAATACAAAATAATTTTTGTTTTTTTAAATTTGCCTCAGTGTAGAGTCTTTGCTGCTGCTCTTTGGTTGAGACCAATGGTCAGTCCAGCTGCCAGTAGGAGGATATCCAGTGAGCTGGTCTGGGCCCTTCACTGAGACCCCTGGGAAAGTCCAAAGGCTGTAGGCTTGGGGACCTGAATCTCCCACCCCCCCGCCTCTTCTCCCTAACTCCTGTTATTCAGGCAGGCAGAGCAGCTGGGCAAGGTGGTGAGGGGATGTCTGTCCTGATGCTGTCCCAGCTCTGCCTGCTGTTTGGCTCTGGACTGTGACAGCTGGGTCACCCCCTGCACCAGCATCACCTCCAAGAGGTCACTTGTGTTTACGTGAGGGACCTCTGGCAGACCATCATGGTTCCCTGCAAGTCCCTGTTTCCAAGAGAGTGCAGTTCCTCTGCGGATTGCTCCTGCCCCTGTAGAAATTCTGCTTATCTTGTTTTGATGGCACACCCCAGCTCTTTAACTGCTGCCAGATCAAGCTGCCCAGTGCAGGACAGGAAGCATTGCTCCTTTGGACCAAATCCCTGTGCTCAGGAGATGGGACAGCCATAGCCTGGTACCCATCTAAGAGGCACATTCCTTGTGCAAATGGCTGGGGTGGCAGCCTTCTGTATGGCTCTGCAGCCTCCGGCTTTGCTCAGCAAGAGCTGCCAAGGTGCTGGGGCCCAGAGGTGTGTTCCTGCCAGCCAGTCGGTGGGGCAGGCTGCCTTGCCCCAGCTGGGAGCAGGGAACAGGGATGTCCTGCTAATATTGTTGCCTTTTACTACTTTTGTAACTTTTCTGTCTTTTCTTTTTCAATCTGAAGAAAAAATAAAAAATTTAAAACCCCACAGTGAAAGAAAGTGTAAGAGCTGCTATATTCACACTTCTGGTGGGTCTGGTGCATTTGCCATCTTCTGGGTGTTTGTGGGTGGGGGTATGGAGGGGGTGGAGTAGAGTGAGCTATGACACAGTGCAGCCACTCCCAAGCACTCCACAATGCAAGGAGGCCACCTCTGCAGGTGAATGGCTTTGGAAATGAAGAGCTTGTCCAAAATGAATGCCAGGTTCTTTGTATGTATACCTGCTCCATTTGAGGTATGGTGTATTGTCCCTCACTGGTGCTTCCCTCACCAAGATTGTGCTTTGGCTTTTGAGTAACTGTCCAAATGGTCTTTGGCTTGTAATTTTGAGTTCAGGAAGTCTTGCATGTCTGTCCTGAGAGTCTCCACAGCCCTTTTGTTTACAGCCAGAGTACTTTTCCTTCTCTATAATTTAGCTGTAGTTCATCCCTTTCTCTGGATTTTGCTCTCTGTGCTCCATCTCGGGTATTTGTAATGTGCATTCCCCACCCCTTGTTATTTACTTGAGCTAATTCCTGTCTCTCCCTCACTCCTAACTCTGTATCTTCACTAGCATCTCACAAGGCTATTACCTATGTCCCCTTTTCCAAGGCCTCCTGAGAGATATTAGCATAAATTCCCTTAGCAGCCCTACTTAGATTCATTCCCAGGAGGCCTTTTCCATTCTTCCCTCCAAGCTCTGATCTCCTCTAGGCTTCTTGCCATCTCTCTTATCTTGAAGTCCTCCCCTCTCTGTCAGCTGCAGCTTGTTAATTGGCCTTGGCCAATTTTGCAAGGGTTGTATGGTGCCTTGCTGGCTCCCCCGAGCCCTTGCTCTTGTCCCTCCCTTACAGAATGCTTTCCTCTGGGATGCTTCTTCCAGCACAGCCTGATCCCTCAGCGCACCCGCCCTTGGAGCCCCAGATGCCGTCAAAACCGTGGTGGTGGCTATGACTCCACAAACACTGATCGTCTGTAGGCTCTGCCAGGTCAAGCTTGTTGTCAGTCTGTTTTGTGTATTTAGAGAGGGATGCACTGCCCTTGTATCCGCTGGGCTGGAGTATGGACACCTGGCGCTCCAAAGCCAGGGGACAGCTGGTGAAGGCCCGGAAGCTGGCATACAGCTTGGCATTGCACAGCCAGCCCAGCACCAAGGTAAGCTGGGGGTACAGCTGCTGTCCCTGGGCTCTCATCTGGGCCCCCTGCATCTGTTTGGAGTTAGTTCAATTGTGCCCACCCATCATCTCTCCCTGCAAGCTGGACCTCTGGGTTAACAGCAGAACAGGGCAGTTTTTGTGGTGAAACATGGTGGTAAACTGCAATATGGCAACAACTCTGAAGCTCAAGGAAGGCGGGTTAGGGGTATTCATGAAGATCTTACAGGGTACTTTTCAGTTGTAGGTACCACTGTTACTGACAAAGGAGAGTGGGGATGTTGGCCTCCTTTGGATGCCAGACCCTGGCATGTGGGAACAGTTTCCCAAAGCCCCCTGCAGAAGGTAGCAGAAACAAGGGAAATGAGAGCTGAGCTGTGGTCTTTGAGCCAAAGTCCTTGCTGTAGCCACTGCCCTCTGTTGCGGCCTCTGGCATCTGTCCTGCAGGGCTGATCACCTCTGTGGCTTCCAACCAGCTTGTGCAAACACTTCCTCCTCTGCCAGAGAGGGCAGGGATGCCGGCTGAGGTCTGAGCGCTGTCAGCACAGTCAGCTTGGTGTGGGTCCCTCAGGACCTCTACTTTGCTGGAGCTCCTGGCTTCCCATCAGGTTTGGGTCCTGGCTCAGCATGGGACCCTGTAACTTCTAAGCTGAGTCCTTTTTCTGCTCTGAGCCATCTTGCTTGGAGATGTGCAGGTGTTTCCCTTCAGAGCAGAAAACACCCTGTGAAGAGAGCAGGGCTGTTGTGCCAGAGTGCAGCTCAGCTGTGTTAACTATCTGCAGGAGGCTGAATGGGGACAAGCGGCTGTTTGAAGAGCTTGGCTACAGCTCCTCTATGATTTAAGCAGGACCATTTAAGCTAATACTGTTCTCCAATTAAAGCAAATTAATTAGTGCTAAGGCCTTTTAAAAATAGCAGAGAAGAATGAAGATCACAGCAGTGGCAAAATGGATTGTTACATGTGTACCCTGAGCCTCGGTGAGTCCCTTTGCAGCCAGCACACAGGATTGTCTCTTCTTTGCATTGTCCTAACATTTTCTGACATATATGTATGTACATGCATGCACACATGTAATATATATATTTCTGTCTCACTGTGTTTCATTTGTGCAGAAATCTCTGTCCTCTGACAGTCACTCATGAGCAGGGTGCCCTGTGCTCACCTGCCTGGCTCAGTCTTTGACAGGGCTCTGTATGAAGCCCCTCTGTGGCACACTCACCAACTCTGTGCTGCAAAGCTTGGAAAACCCACCCTGTTTCCAGCTGCATGCTGAGTGTTCACCCATCTGCCCACCTATGGGATTGACTAGATAAATGGATAAAACTGGCAGTGCCGCTGGGGCCAGGGTTTTCACCCCAGGCTTGATGGAGGCCACTGAAACATAGCTTGGGACAGGAAAAATTGAGAAGCAGAAGTTCCATTTCCAGGAGCTGCATAGCATGTTGAGGCAAGGTGTGGGGTGGAAGAATGCATTGAAGGGTGTGTATCAAGTTAGGATTGAATGGGGTATGTGCTGATAAAGCATGGATATATAGACACAGTGCATTTACAGTGGCATTTATATGCCTGTAGTGTTTGTATTCATGGCATATTAGTTATATTTTAATCAGGACGTATTGGAGGAGTAAAGACAAAGGGGCATGCAAGCATGCAAGTGTGGTTCTGGAAGGATGGATGCTGGTGGATGTGCAGCTGGAACTCAATACTAGGTGATCTCAATACAAATTAGAGTGTGATTGTATGCTGCTGCTTCTCAGACAAGAACTGCAGGGGCATCAAATAAAAGTAGCAGGTGTCAGGTTCAAAGCAAACAACCAGAGGCAGATCTGCACAGAGTGTGTGGTTGCACTCTGGACCCCTATGCCACAGGATGCTGTGGCTGCTTGGTTTTTACACTGCTACAGACTTGAAAAGAAAGAAAGAAAAACAAATACTACCTAGGAAACTGCATGCACAAATACCCCCTCTGGTTGAGGAGGGTGGTGACATAGGGGCATTTTCTGGGGTAGGTTACTGTGTGCCAGTCCCATCTCTGCCCCCTCCTCAGTGGCAGGGACTGCTCCTGCCAGGGTTCCAGGTGGGGCAGTAGCTCCAAACAGGCACATGCACCAGCAACTGACCCTGCTGTGCCAGCACTGCCTTGTATGCATGTTCATTGCCTTTACACTTCCAAGAATTTCTCCCTGGGCAGGCCTCAGTGGTGACTGGGCCTCACGTGTTTGATGGTGAGGCCGGGGTGGCCACATTCACCTCCTGCACTGCTCCTCAGGGAGTGCTTGAAACCTGAGCCACTCACTGATCTACCTGCATGGCTGCAGTGGGCATCCTACAGATCCTCTCTGCCCTCAGTGTGGGGGTGCTGGGGCCTGCTAGGAGAGCCCTGGCTCATCAGGGCTGTCTGGCATCCATCATGTCCCTTGGCACAGCCAGGCTGAGCCTGAATCATCTGTGGTCACTGTGTGCAGGGGTTGGTCACAAAGGCATAGCTCAGGCTCAGGTTTCTGAAGTGTGTGAGGTCTGTCCACAGTGGCAGGCCAGTGTTCCTGTGTCACAGGAACAAAGTGAGTTTGGTTTGAACACTGCTGAAGGCTTATGCTGGGTATGTTATGCATGGAATTATCTTTTGAAATTTAGGAACATGTTAGGAAAGCAAGGACAAGCATCCTCCAGTGATGGGTAACCCTCATGTGATGGGTAACCCTCAACCCAGCAAGCCAGAGAGGATGCAGCTGAAGCAGCAAGGCTCTGAACATCAGTGATGATGAGAACGTTTAAGCATGTCGGTATCGCACCATTTCCTGAGCTAGATTTCAGTGGGCTTATTCAAGCAAGGGGGTGAGGAAACTGGAGTTGTAGATGCTTTGAGAGCTTACTCTGGCTGTAGCTGCATGCCAGCCTGGCAGGACCTGACCACATGTTTTCAGTTAACCTGGGGCAGGATGTGCAGGCAGCTCCAGACACATGAGGAGCCCAAAGATCTGTTTGCTTTTGTGGCTGCTCACATCAGTGCCTGCTGTAGCAACAGCTGGCTCTGTTGGTAGGTTGGCCAGAACTGTTTGCATGTTCCTCTCTGACATGCTCACAGCAGAGCAGCTCCGAGGCTGGATGAGTGGATGAACTGAAAGTGCCCTGGGAGCTGGATGCCAAGTAGGGAGGTGAATGGGGACAACAAAGCCCCTTTGAAAGGAACGTGGTTGCCATCTGCAGTGGGAGAAAAGTTGCTTTCTACCAAAGGGTCCCCTAGGAGCAATGCCTGTCTTGCCCTGGCATGTCCTGCAGACACTCCAAGGCATGCTGGTCAGCATCTGTCCTTGTTCTAGTGGCCTGGAAGTGTGTTGTGACACAGGCCTTTGCTCCCCACTGAGGGATGGTGAGTACTGCTGGTGCGACACCTGTGCTGCTGGGCCTACAGCTCTCCTATTTGTGTGCTCCTGCAAGTGTTTGAAGCACCTTTGCTAAGTTTTTCCCAAATGGGTTGCCAAATTGTTCTACCCTGAGTGGTTTCTTTGCCAGTGGGTGACATTTGGCAATGTGTTGGTCAGGGTCTTGTCCAAGACCAGGCTGCTCAGCAAACCTGGCCTTGGCAGTGCCACCAAGCCAAACACATCAGGGCCAAACCTCAGTCATATATAGCTCTTGTGAAGCCTGAAAGCCTTTTTCAGATCTTTGCCACGGAGCCTCCACAGGCCCTGTTTTGAACAGAGATGTTTTGTCCTTTCTAGGTTTTAAACAGTTCCCCAAAACAAACCCTCTGCTATTTACCAGCGTTGTTTTCTTTCTGGTGTTGAATGCTGATAAATAATCAGACCCATTATATTGTATTCGTATCTGCCCTGGTAGCAAAT